TATTTAATTCAAAGCACAGTGCCCTAGTACAGCCACACAGAGTTGCTAGCATGGCTGTAGAAAAGAATCAAATAAAGGTTTTACAAAGGCTGTTCCTTTATTTAACACTTCTCTAACATTGTGTTTTTCTGTCTTCAGTTCGTAAAGGGCAAATTGACCCACCAAAAACCCCAGCTGTTCCTTCGCCAAGCCTCTCTCGTAAGTACCCCTCCAATCCTGTGCCTCACTATGACTCTTTGCAAACTCTACCTCTTATTAACTATACTAACTATAAGAATCACATCTACCAAAATAAATGTAAAAAGATACTGTTTTACAGCAAGAGCCTGAACTTTTAACCATTCTCCTCTCGACTAACATTTATCAACCTCTTTTTCCTTTCCGTCTCTGAAGGATGAGCTCTAAGTAAGTGCTGAATGTAATGTGTTTTGCCATCACCGTCATAATTACAGAGTGTTGTCTGAGAGTTTATGTCTTTTCTTGTCCTCTATCTGACACCATTCTTCTTCCTCTGCAGCTCCCGAAGCCCCTGACAAGCCCACAGTCTCCACGGCAACGGAAACGTCGGCATACGTGACTTGGATTCCTCGCGGTAACCGCGGCTTCCCCATCCAGTCATTTCGGGTGGAGTACAAGAAGGTGAAGAAGGCAGGAGAGGACTGGGTGACGGCGGTGGAAAACATCCCACCATCGCGGCTCTCTGTGGAGATCACAGGCCTCGAGAAAGGTCAGCCATCTTGAACAATGTTGTCATTATTCACAGCCGTTTTAATCTGACTTTGTGGAGTTGGGGGGGAGAAGTAGGATGTTGTACCATATAATTACAATGATGATGTCCTGCATAATTACACTCCCAAGGCCTGTAAATTCATCAGCATAATGAGTGTTGTTACAGTCATTTCAGTAATTGCTGCCATCAGTCAAAACCATAACTGAATTGCAGTCAACATTGCGTTTGCTCTTTTAAAAGGAAAACAAAGTAATGTGAAAACAAACATTCGTCATCACAATATAGAGCTTTATTCTCGGCAGCCCCCAGAGACACATTAGTAATGGTTATCCCTCTCCCTGTAGGTACATCCTATAAGTTTCGTGTTGTGGCGGTGAATGTAATCGGTTCCAGTCCTCCCAGTGCCCCTTCGAAGGCATACACTGTGGTGGGTGGGAGAACCCATGAGCGGCCTGTTGATGGACCTTACATCACCTACAATGAAGCCATCAATGAAACCACAATCATTCTCAAATGGACGGTGAGTGATTGGAAGAAAATATGTTGTTTTTGTCTACTAAAGTTAGTATTTTGCGGTCAATATGTTTTTCATTGTGATTGTAACAAGATTTATTTCCCTCTTCAACAGTACACTCCTGTAAACAACACGCCCATCTACGGTTTCTACATCTACTACCGGCCGACAGACAGCGATAATGACAGTGACTATAAGAAGGATGTGGTGGAGGGAGACAGATACTGGCATCAAATCAGTGACCTGCAGCCTGAGACCGCCTACGACATCAAGATGCAGAGCTTCAACGAAAAGGGAGAGAGTGAATTTGGCAACGTGGTGATCCTCGAAACGAAAGGTGAGGTCATTCTTTTGGGACATTTAGCTGTAACATGCTCTCTTTAGCAAGTCTGAACTTTCTTTTTTTTACATCTATTTTTCCACTTTTTTTCTTTCCTCAGCTCGTCCTAATCACCAGCGGCCTGATCCATCAGAGACCCCAGAACATGTTTTTGGACAGTCCAACGGACTTGTGCCGCGGCCCGGTGACCTCCCCTACCTCATAGTCGGTATTGTTCTCGGAGCCTTCGTCTTCATTATTGTCGCCTTCATCCCCTTCTGCCTTTGGAGGGCTTGGGCCAAACAGAGTGAGTGCTCCTTCCGCTTCCTTTTTAGGTCTTCAGTCATATAGTTATTTGCCTTTACATCGGTGTAATTCTCCTTTTGTGCTTACTTCAGAGCAAACATCGGATTTGTGTTTTCCTTCCGTGGCTGCCCCTGTGTCGTCGTGCCAGTACACCATGGTTCCCCTGCAGGGACTTGCCCTGGTTGGCCACTGCCCGCTGGACGGCCACATAACGGCTCCACACGGCGTCTACCCCGCCAACGGAGAATACACTCCAAACGGCAAACCTCACCACCCCACACACTGCCTGCCAGGGCTGCAGCAGGTAAAAATATGCTCACTATAGGTTGTTAATAGGCTGTCATGTTTTGAAAGTCCAGTAGTGTTGAATGTATGATCGTAATGCGCTTGTGTTTTGCAGGAGGAGGTGGACTGTGATATGGAGTGTGACACGTTGTTGCCACAGACAGTGTCAAATGGACATCTTTACCACTACTCCACCAGGTACATTCACATACACAACTCACATACAGTATGTATTGTGATTTACTGGAGGGACATTATGCAATAATTACTAAATAATCAACTAACGGGGAAGCAAAAACCACTGCTCAAAGTAGACAAAATAGATTGTTAATGACATTTTTAGATTTTGCTGAAGTGGTTTTCATGATATTTGAACTTAAATAGGAATTCGTACCTAAACTGGAGCCAAAAGAATCAGTCAATTAATCAATTAGCAGAAAATTCTTTGCTTTTTTGATAGATTAATCACCTCTGGTATTTATTGGGCAAAAATGTGCTGGTTACTGCTTTTTAAATATAATTTTCTTATAATTTTTAAATGTACCTTATTTTACATTTACATTGCCATTGTAAATAAAATATTGACAATTGTTAGTGTGTTAGTCTAACACAATGTCTACAAAGACTGTGTAGCGAAAGCCCAACACACAATCACTGTAGTTTTGTGTGTAAAATGGAAGAAATAGACTTGAAATGTAAAATTACACTTAAGTCACTTACGTCATTGATCCTTTAACATTTTATATAAACCTTTTTTTTTTTTTCATGTCTTCCTTAGTGGTTCAGATCTTCATGAACAGAGCTGCTGTCCTCCTGATGACTCCACTCTTCAGCTCCTCAACTCATCCCATCAGCACTTCAGTTCACAGGAACTGGGAGGCGATGGCAACTTCTCTGGAGGAGATAAAGCAGAGGATGGCATCACTAACAGTAAGTCTGTTGTTGACTGAAATAATAGATGCCGTTAATTGTCCATCTTTTTCACATTTGGAACATGGATTTTCTCATATGTGATGATCCTGCAGTGCAGACGTATATCAAGTGTGGCAAAAAAATCTCAATTTATAGTTAACTACATAAAAGCTTTTTTGGAGCTTTCCGCTGCATCTCACAGTCTCAAAGATGGTCTTTGGCTTCAGATATTGCTGGCAGAGATGCGGTTAAAAGATCTGAAAAAGCTTGTAAGTGGACCTCTGGTTGAGATCATTTCATGACACACTGATTCCGAGCTCAAGAGCAAACTACCACGCTTCAGTTGAAGATTTAATTTTGGCTGTTCCAATGTGTTTATCTTCATTTTCCAACCTTAGAATCAGCATCCTTTTTTTGCATACTACAAAATCAGCGTCACATTTTCTGACCAGCTCTCATTCCTTCCTGCTTCTTTCTGCAGAGCCAGCGTCCTTTCCTCTTCTCTCTCTAGAAGACGAAGGGATTTTCACCACATCATCTTCAGCAGCCACAACGCCACAATCCCAAGATACAACAATACCGGAAGTGAACATCCTCCCAAATGAAGCAACCCCTGAGGACGAAGGGGCAGGCAACACAACAGATGCATAAGAGACTGTTAAACAAACAGAAGAAAACAAGAGAGAATATTTATTTTTGTATCACAGATATTTATATATTTATGCTTTTGTACATAAGTGTCTGATTATACTGTATATAAGGTTATTTTCATATTGAAAAAAAGACTCTTTATTCATACGTCCTCCCTCTCAATACGTCATGGAGAATGGGAGCACCATCGTGTGATGCTGTCTGCATTTCCTGTGGAGGAAAGCAAGTTTGAGACGTTTTTCCTCATGTGAAGATCAGTCAGGGGACCTTAAATCTGCAGGGGATTCCCCTCAGTTTTCAGCACTTCATGTCTAGACCCTCCTCACGTCATTCCTCGCAGATATCCTCCATCCTAAACGTTTGGACTTTAGGTACTTTAGCTTTATGTTCAACAGAAACAAAGGGACATTCAAACCAGTCTGATGCTGTAATTAAGAGGTGCTTCATTGCTGTTTAGTTCCATTGCCATGTCACATTTTCAGAAATCCAACTGTGTCATTTTGTATAGCAGTAACACAAATGTATTATGCATTGTTCATCATTAGCAAACTATTAACAAGTGTATGCAACGTAAATCATTCTGTTTCAGTAGTGTGCAAGAGATTATATATTGTATAGTTATTTATTTTTTTTTGATTTTGTTATTTTTTTAAATCACTGAATGGGAGAGATTCTGGAAACTATCTTAAACTCAGTCATTGATAAGCTGAACTTTATACTGCAACCACTTCTGTGTTTACTCATTTGCTGGTTACCAAATGACTGCCAGGTGAGGGCGCTGTGACAGGTGTGTCAGTATTATTCCTCCCTCACAGGTTGGTGCATAAGTATTAGTCTTAGAGACATCCGCAATCAAAATGAAGGAGAACCTGAATCTACACTCCCCTTATAAGTGTAGCCGTTCTGTGGCTGCAAATGCTGGAGCACTATTGCATGTAAATAAAAGCTTACGAAATTTGACTTGTGTTTGGTGCATCTTTTCTTGGGATATTTATGTGTGGTAAGTACAGGCTGCACACTATGATTAAAATCCTCTTTTTTTATGCTTTGCTATGTTTTACAGTGAAAACAAATAATTTGCTTTGTAATTCTTCTACAGATGTGTCAAATTAGTTTAAAATCCAATTTGGTGGAATAAAGACACCACTACCACCACTAATTTTCATTGTTTTTCCCACTGTTGGATTCTGAAACACCCCCCAGAGCTACAACAAAATAAACAAGCAAGTGATGAGTTCAAGTGCCACCTTGTGGAGTAAAAAAACAAAAAAAACACACGATTCTTCAGTTGGCAGCAAATACAAATGTCTCCTTATAAACTTTATTAATCAATTTTGTATTTACAAATACATACATAATCTAACAGTTCTGATATGAAACATTGGTATTTACAAAATAGCTCTTGGAAAAAAACTGATTCTGTACAGTACAACCTGATATAAGTTAGTAAATTACATTGGTAGGTAACTGTGCAGAAGGTTTCTTGATGACCCCAGAATACACTATATTCAAGTTCTAAACCTACATTGATTTTGTTTTACCGAACCGTCGGTTTAACCAACATTTCAAACAAAGAGCTTTAAAAGACCACATTTTCCTGTCACTGTCAAATAAAAAGATTTACAAATTATAACTTTGACATCATATATATGCCAAAGGAAACTAATTTAAGATTGAAACTGAACATGTAAACAACAAAAGACATACGTGGTGTCATTTCAACATAGAAACCGTTCATCAGATGCTTCACCACTTCTTCTTGAACATTTTAAAGAACACATCTCAAATTGAAAATTAAACTCTTCAGTTCGGGGACACCAGTTCAATCAAAACGCAGCAGGAACTCTCCTCACACGGCTGAGCTGCCGTCGTGGCCCAGAATGTGGCTGATGTTGTGGGCAGGACGATTGGGCTGCTTGCCAGGGTCGGCTGACGAGGTGTTGGAGAGAGACAGCAGGGGAGACATTGGCATGGCCGAACCATCAGTGGGCATGCCTGTGGCGATCTCAGGGAACAGCGAGGTGAGGCTGAAGTTTGATATGTGAGGTGTAATCCCAGACGAGTTGGCAATGGGCATAGGGGGCATATCTGAAAGCAAGGGGAAGCTGGCCTGGCCAAAACCAACAGGGCGAGGGGGGGAAAGGATAGAGCCAAAGCGGTTATTGAGGGGAGGAGCGCTGCCCTTGTCGGCACTCGGGCTGGTAAACATTTGGTTGGGAAAGTATTGGAGGGTGACATCGCTGGGAAGGCTGGGGTGAGCAGCTGGAGAATACGAAGGATAGAAGGAAGGTAAAGTGTTCTGGGGCTCCACAGGCAGAAGGGACGGCGTACGGGAGGCGTTGGGCTGGCTGACCGGAGGGATGAAAGTGGAGTTCGCATTGATGGGAGGTGGAGGATTCATCCCTCCTTCAGGAATAAAGGGGAAACCAAAGTTTTGTGTTAGGTGTTGGTCAGAAACCAGGTTGTTGTCACTAGGAACCTGCGCGCCGTCTGTCATAAAGCGAACGATAGCGCTGCGCCGTGCCTCTCCTCCGGACTGCGGTCTGCCCAGCAGCACCCCTCCTCCTGAAGGCAGAGGCAGATGTCCCTCAGGTTCAAAGGGGTTACCGTGTCTCAGAGTACCTGATCGAGCCCGGTCACCAGGTCTCAGCTTGGTGGGCTGAGTATCTCGGGGGATGTGGCGAGAGTGCTGGCTAACAGCAGTGGGTGGTCTGGAGGGCGCTGAGGAGCGGCCTGGCTCCGAGCTGCTGTGTGGAGTTGGAGGGTGGGGGAGACCTGCGCGCACACCTGGGCCTCCGTGCATATTACTGCTGACCTGAGAAATGTGGCCCTTGTTGCCCTCTCCAAGCCTCATAGCTGGGGCCTTCTGTGTCTGGGGCACACTGGGGCTGGAGGACTTGACCTGTATGTCTCCTGAAGAGCTTCCAGGCACACAGCTGTACTCCATGCTGACTGGAGGACAGCACTGCACTCGCTGGTGGTTGCTCTGCTCAGGCAGGTGGGGGGAAAGGAGGCTTTGCATGAAACTCTGGTGACAACTGTCCTGCTCCCGGGGCAGTGCTGGTCCAACCTGTACTCCCTGTGAGCCAGGATGAGCTGTGCTGTAGCCGCCACGGTTCCTGCCATCTGCTGGAGGGCCAACACCCATCCTGAACCCTCCCTGCTGCTGCCCCTGAGGGCCCCTCTGGGAAGGTGGCACCGACTTAGGGGCCATGTCACTTCCACGAGACACCTGAGCCTCAAAACCACTGAGTTGATGTGCTCCTCCTCCTCCCATGGTCTTGAATGGCGGACACTCAGAGACCCGCTGAACGTCAGCAGACCCCGGGTGGTCGGAGGGCAGGCGATTCTGTGGGTTGTGTGCAATGTTGGCCTTCCCTCGCGATGTGTCCAGGTAACCGCGGAGGTCCGGCTGCTCCTGTGTGCCGCCGCGGCCAGGCTGAAGGTGAAGACCCATGCGCTGTTGCTGTTCACCACTGGTGGAACTTTTACCGATGAGCGCCTCCGCAGAGTAATTGGAAACACGGTGGCGTTCCTGACGCGACGGAGCGCAGGCCAGGTCAGATGACCGAGACGCAGGATTGCTGGGAGGAGAGATGAGCTGCTGCTCCAGAGTCCTAGAGCTCATCATCCTCTGCATAGCGTTATGATCCTGACCAGGCTGAGGGAGAGACAAAGTCAAAATGTTATTTTCAGACAAAAGTCAATTATTCAACATCATCAATCTGTGCTTTCAGCTGGATTACCACAAAGCAATAAAACCAGTTACGGTTTGAAGATTCACCCATTCAACACCATCTTTTGTTGAAAATACTGGCAACTGGCAAGATATTACAATAATTTAATTGTGTTTCACTTGAAATGATTAAAACCTTAAATTTTCATTCCTCCGTCTCAACTGTGGCTAAGGGGCAGGGCGCTGTTTTTTCACTGCAAGGCCCAGGACAGAAAAAGCTCCTAGGCAAGCACTTTGTTTTTGTTTTTAGGATGTTTTTGCTGTGGCTGTGTAAATGTGGTCTGCTGCAGTGCATTGCTACAGCTAGGTCTTTGTAAGGAAAACTCTCATCAGCCACAGTGTCAAATAGGTTGAACAGATTTACTAACCCACAAAATACCTGGGGTTAACTTTTTTTTTAAACGCATTTTACTGCACTGAGAGAAATGTCACACCAGAAGTAAAAAAAGAAAGATATATTTTCTACGTTTCTGAACATTGTTATCATAATCAAATACCTAAATTAGAAATGACCTACACACAGTCTAGTACTCACACACAACTCTTTTTTTTTGTTTTGTTTTGTACCACGTAACACTGACCTTGAGGTGCTCCTGCTGGGCCAGGTGGCTGCTGTGGTGGGCCCTGGATCCTGCTGCCTGGGCCTCACAGCTCTTCTCCTGGTGCCTAAAGTGCTGCTGCTGTTGCTGCTGCTGGATCTGCTGCTGTAGGTGCTGCTGGTGTCTGGGGTGGGAGCTCTGCTGCTGCAACTGCTGCTGCTGCTGCTGCTGCTGCTGCTGCTGTTGGTGCTGTTGGTGCTGCGTCTGTGGCTGCTGTTGATGTGCCTGCTGTTGGTGATGAGACTGTTGGTGTTGCGTTGGCTGTTGATGCTGCTGCGATTGTTGGTGTGACTGTTGTTGATGCTGCTGCTGCGACTGCTGCTGCTGCTGCTGCTGCTGCTGCTGCGTGTGCTGTTGATGCTGTGTCTGTTGTTGTTGATGCGAGTGCTGCTGTTGAACTCCAGACTTTTCCAGGTGATGCTGCTTCTGTTGCAGGCCAGCAGGTGAACCAGTTTGAGTGCCTCTGACCAGTCCCCGCTTCTTCTGCACATGCTGCTGCTGCTGCTGCTGCTGCTGCTCTTGCTGTTGCTGAAGCGCCCTCTGGTGTAGTGAGTGGCGCTGTGCAGGGTCAGGCTGTGTCAGGTGGTGTTGCAGATGATACAGATGGTGTCTCTGTTGCTCTTGCTGCTGCTGTTTCATGTACAGGTTTCCCCCCAGGTGCTGGCCAAGCTGGGTTGCAGCATGTTGTGGATGACCCTGGGGCAGATGTAGCACACCTGGCTGGTTCTGCTCAGGGGGTCCTTGAGGAGGGCAGTGGCCATCCGTGGGCCGAACTACCGGGCTCATGAAAGAGTTTGTGGAGAAGAGGGGGCCTCCGGTGTCTGAATTAATCCTCGTCATGACAGCTGAGGACGTGGGAGGCAGCTGTCCCACCATCATCTGGCTGTGGTCTGGTGCTTTCACATCCATATGGCTAACAGTAGTAGCTGATGGAGGGCAAGGCTTGGGACGTTTCCCAGTGTTTAGCATCACCTCCTCCTGGGCCTGCCGCTTGGAAATGATCTTCACTTGTCGCTCACCCACACCAACTCCAGCCTGAGCCCTCATTAACGCAGTCTTCAAAGGGGTGTACTCATTCAGCTGGGCTGCACCCGAGCAGGGTGAGAGAGCATTGTTCGAGGGCTGGGATATGTGTGCTGAGGGCCCCACGGGTGAGGGAACCGAGCCCTGTTGGCCAGCCAGGTTGGGAGAGCCAGGGTACGGTTGCTGGCTCGAGCTGGGCCTGATCAGGTTGTTCACACTGAGGCTAGCCACAGTGCCGCTCTGGGATGAGCTCTGAGACTGGACCTGGGGGAGAGACTGAGACTGGGAGTATGAGATATTTTGTGGATGTCTGCTTCCATTGGGCCCACTGACAGACCCGTCCCCAGCCTGTCCTCTGACAGATACCTGGACAGAAGGTTTGACCGTTACTGTGTCCATGGGTTTAGTCACTTTTGTCTGCTGTCCAGTTGAGCCCCTTTCTTTACTGCTAGACACTGGTGGTGTTTTTGGGGTCTCCCATGTGACAGTGGTGGGGTTTGTGGAAGCAGTGTTGTCCCCAGAACAGCCTCCACTCCGTCTTCCTGGACTGTCTTGCTCTAGCATGGCCAAAGCCAGCATTTCTGCCTGCTCAGAAGTGAATGTAAAGGTTCCAAAGGAGCCGGAGGATGCACTAATACTGTGGCCCTGCGGAAGCATGGATGCCACAGAGAACCCTCTGCCTCCCCCAGCACCTGTAGACATTGGAGAATCTGTCTGTCTGCTTGATGTCATAGGGTGCTCTATAGTTTGATCGTCAAGGTTAGTGTACACCTGTTGAGATATGGCAAAATCCTTCCTAGAGGCAGCGTCAGACGTTGCTGCCACCAAGCTCTCCTTCTCTGCTGCTGTGGAGTGTCTCTCTACCTGAGCCTCCCTTTCTCTTCTAGGGGGTTGGGGTGGTTTTACTTCAATGGGATGGCAGGGGGAGATGTTGGGCATATTCACGTCACTCTGCTGTGTTGGAGCTCTACTGGTAGTCACCCTTTTCCTAAACTCTGAACTTGTTGTAGGGGCTGTAACAGAGCTGTGGACTATAGAAAATGTTGCAGCAGGGGATGAAAGTGCAACTGTTGTGGACACCAAGTGAGAAGTGGTCGGCTGAGATTCAGGTTTATTACAGGGCAGAGAACCTTGGGTATTAGATCCCTGAGGACGACATACTAAAGTTGACTGGGTAGTCTGATTTAGAGATACTGGTGTAACTGCTGTGACACTGCTGGTGCAGACTGGAGTGAGACATGCAGTGGAAACGGTGGTGGAAGTGTAACGAGTCTCACTGGCACCTGCAGAACTGACCACAGATCTGGTCTGTCTAGAAACAGCAGTGGTGGCAGCAGACTTACTTTGCGTTATGCCAGTTGCTGAATTGGTGTTTGCCTGTTTAACCTCTGGAACTGAGTGTTTGGTTACAGTTGAGTTGTTGCCAGAGACTACAGCTGGTTTACTCTCAATGGCCACAGCCGCAGTTACTGATGGCTTGACAGATGATGTCGTAACTGCAGTTGCCACACCACTAGTATTAGTATGACTGAGTATAACATCAGTCTGAGATGCACTGACGGAGCTTTTGCTCTGTTGATGGGATTGACTAAATACAGTTGACTCATTAGATGAACTACACACAATCATTATCTGAGTGTTTTGTGTAGAGTTAACGTTTGCTATAGCTTTACTACTATCTGTAGTTGTGACAGGTGTGGTACAACTGGGGGGAATGTCTGTGACTTTTACAGTCGAGGGCTGTAAAACTTGAGATACCGTAACTTGAACTGTTTGACTTTCTGCTGCAGCAGCCACCGGCTTGGCTGAGACAGCAACAGCAGGCTGTGCCTGACTAAGCTCTTTTTTCTTGGCTGGTTTAGTCCTTTTAACCGTTGCCCTCTTTGTATTCGTGCGAAGCCTCTTTCCTGAAGGTTTGGAGGCATTAACCACCAGCCCGGATTTGACTGGATTCAAACAAGGGACCTGTAGCTGCCGAGCAGGTAGAGCAAGTGTGGTAACAGGGACGGATGCTGGAGCAGGAGGCTGCACTACTGATGATGGAGTAGCTGAAGGCTGACAACTGTTCTGGCTAGAAATGGTAAGTGGAAGGCCCTGAGAGATGCTCTGATTAAGACTGCTGAGTGCCCCCAAACTGTTGAGGGCCACATTAGTAGTTGGTTCCTCAGTGGTGGTGGGCTGGACCAGCTGGAGTGTACTCTGGCCACTCTGGGAGCTGGGTTTGTCAGAGGTCTTCATGGGCTGCAAGGCAAACACCTGGCCGTTCACAGTGATAGTCTGTGGTGTTGGAGGAGCCGGTGGGGAAGAGGAGGCCTGGGTGACCTGAAGGGGATGGTTCATTTGAGGCTGAACGGGGCGGGGGAGAATGTGCACCAGCTGCTTTCCCCCAACACTCTGTAAGGAGGTGGCAGATGTTGAATTGCTGGTTGTGGGTATTTGAGTGGACACAACAGGCACTGCAGCCGGCACAGCCGCAGACACCATGCCAACCTGAGGATTCTGAGGGGCAGGTGCAGTCTGATTGGGTGCCTGGATGATGACAATATGCTGACAGGGTGTCTGATTGGTTATTTCCTCCCTTACAACTGATTGGGTTGGGCAAGTACTGGCCTGCTGCAGGATGACCACACTTGGGTTGTTAGCGTTCTGTGGTGCTGTTACACCTGAGGCTGTCCCTCCGGTTGGGTTTACTTGCAACACTTGCATGGTCTGAAGAATGGGCAACACGGTGGCCTGTGGCTGGGGCACCAAGGCGGGCTGAGGCTGAGAGATGAGGGCTGTCGAAGGATGCGGAACCAATGACGCTGGTTGAAGTACAGCAGACTGGGGCTGCGACACGACGGCAGGGTGGGCCACCACAGCTGGCTGGGGTACTATTGCTGACTGGGGGAGAACAGCACACTGAGGTTGGGGGGCTAGGACAGGCTGAGGCTGTGTCTGGTTCAGGATTGCTGACCGTAGCTGGGGCGGTCTCTGAAACGGCTGTGCTTGAATGTGGGCTGTAATGGGCGCTTGCTGTACAGGCACATGTGGTTGCATCTGTATTTGAATGGGCTGGACAGAAGGTTTGTTGCCCACTGGACACACAGTCACCTGCTGGACAGCCTGGGTGGTGTTGATGACCTCAGGGGTGGGAAGACTCTGGCAGACTGGCTGCACTGTGTTCCCCGCCATCTGCAGCGTTGTCCACGTCGTCTGTGTGCTGCCTGCCGCACCAGCCCTCAAAAGAGCTTGGCTGTTGGGGATAGCAGTGTAACTCACAGTCCTCATGGCAGTGTCCTGTGTGACCCAAGAGCAGACCTCTGAGTCCGCCGCTCTGGATGTGGTTATAGCTTCGGTAAGCGCGGTGAAATTGGACACGGGCTGAACAAGGCTTTCACTGGGGAGGTGTGAGGATGAAGTGGCTGGAGCAGCAGGCAGCGGTTGTTGGGGCAGGGCTGTGGTGGCCGCAGGGATCTGCAGGGTGATGTAAGACACAGACGGTGGCAGACTGGGGGCCGCCGGTGTCTCAACCACACACTGCTCTATCATTCTCAGGCCCGGCGTAGACTGGCTGGGTGTGGCGGTCGACCCGGGCAGAAGTGCAGGGGTGGAAGAAGAGGTACTAACTTGCAGCAGGGCTCCATTGACCCTCAGCCTGGCACTGACCTCAGGAGGAGGCTGAAGAATTAATGTTTCAGACGACTGTTTCGCGGGGCTCGACTCCTTCCCTGCTGGGCACATCACATTGCCGTTGGAATAGACGATGATCCCCTTTGGGAGTTGGTGAGTGGGGGTCACCTTCGCAACCTTGGCGCAGCGCTGTTTGCCCTTCCAGTGAACAGTGGGGTCTTCTAAAAGGTTAATATCATGAGCTTTGAGGAGCTCGATGTAGTGAGCGCTCTCCCTCCTCAGCTCCTCCAACTGACGCCGCAGCCGACGGATCTCCTCAGCTGTGAGACCGAACACACAAATAATGAGTCTAGTTAATCATATGTTAATTCCAAGCACACATATTGTATAATTACACTTCATGTATTATTAAACTACTGTATTATTTCACCTTGGACTTTATCGCCTCCTTCCAGAAGCATTGTATCATTTTGTTTCTTCAGTTCAGTAATGTAGCGAAAAGCCTGGTCCAGGATCATGTTCTTACTCTATAAATAAGAGGATGAAGGTTGTTAATACACGCTACACAACAGTCGACTGGCCTGTACAAACACTCATCTGATCATAACATGTTGCTTTTAGGGCATAACAGTAATGCCGGCTTATCTCTTACCTGTTTAAGTGCCTGGGAACAGGGCAGAAGATTACCAATGCGGTTAATCCCAGCATTAATCTTCTCTTTTCTGTGTCTCTCAACTATATAAAGAAGAGACTAAACTTTAATGTCCACTTACATGTCTACAAACAATCCACAAAACATCATTGTTCTCAAAGCAGCGAGGTTTGAATAGAAACACAACAGGAGATATTTCACCTGCATTGTGAGACTCTTTGTTTTTCTTCTTTCTGCAGAAAAAGAAACAGCATTAAAGCATTTCTTATTACATACGTATTAAACCAAAGGGCCCTGTGCTGATTACTTACTTGGGCTTACGACCAGGTGTCTGAGTTTCAGTCATCTCTGGCATCCTGAACTAACAGCTGCCTGTATGATAAGGTACCAGTCAACACATTTAACATCTGGTCCTTAAATCCCTTCCGTGCTCTTCCTGCAATGAAAACACAAACACATTTTTTTTAAAACAAGACCCCAGACAACGTGTATGACACCAGACATGCATTAGTGTTGTCACATCAGTAGATATCAGTCTTATTAAAAGCTACACTGAGCCACAAGTACAACTACTGGACGCTCACAAGCTGGTGTACATTTACTGCATCATCTGCATATTATAGCACATTTACAGACGGTTCACCGAGCACTTGTGAGTCCTGGTGTTCGCTGACAGTAAGCGGTGGTCAGATAATCACCCCGTCACTTCACTAAACAACAAACCAGCAACCTGACCAATAAACCTACTGAGCTAGCTCTCTGTTAGCAGGCTGGCTATCAGCTATCTCAGCTCACCGTTACCGACAGAAACACCGAGCGGGTTAAAACCGGATTTCTTCGCGTCGCTGCTGATAAAATGCTGCTAATGGACGGTGGTTTCCACTAACCTCTAGCGTCGGCATTTTGGAGACTGTCCGTCTCAGCAGAAACTTTGAGATTGGAGGCTAAGTGCTAGCTAGCAGAGCATTCAACTCAACTCATCTCCCAAAACAATCTGGATACACCGAACTTAACGCAGGAAGGGGCGGGCTCTGCGGGGAGCTGACAGCCAATAGCGTTCCAGATCTGGGAGGCTCCAGCCAATCACGACGCGCTAAAAGGGCAACAGGGACGGGGTCACACTGAATGCACTTTATATGCATTTTGTTTCAAAACACAACATTCAAACATATTTCTGTGTTTTTAGATGAGGATTATTCAACATGGACATGGAACAGAATAAGACACTTAGCAACGTGTTTACTGCAAATAGTAATTCCTTTATTCAGACGTTAAAAAGTCTTACAATATAGAGCTCCAGAAAAGATAAAATTCTTCAAAGAAAGGAAAAACATGCTTATACTACAGCGGAGAGGACACAACTCTCCTTGCATGCAGAGGGGTCAGAGCTTCCTCGGGGTAAAACACTGTTCAAAAGACCATAACAACATTTCCAAACAATCTGCAGAGCTTCAAAACCTCATGAAGGTGTGTGTAACAACAGGAGCTGACTGAGGCAGGGAGTTTGAGAGGACCATTTTATGCAAGGTGGCTACATAAGGTGCCAAAGGTGTTTAAGGTTAGATGTCTAAAAACACTTGAGTGCATTTAGAGACCACATCATCAAACACCTTTATTTTTATCTACTGAAAATAATGCCCAAATCTAATCCCAAACAGCTGATCTGTTGTTGTTCGAACATCCCTCACAATTCATGTGGATTGCCCTTCTCAGAAACGCATTCAATATGACATTTTGTTTAGTTCTCTCATTCCTTAATGTTTTCACTCTTAGTAGTAAACCCAGGGAAACCTCTGAACCATTTGCCACCTCGATGTAAAAAATAAAAAGAACAGTTGAAGGGGAATTAAATTAACAGGCTGGAAAATAAAGTTATTCAGAAATGATGTGGTGATCACGTCTTCCCACCACCTCAAAACCGTTCAGCTTTCCTTACGTCTGTACCGAGGGGATACATTTCTGCCTCTCCCCTCTGGACATGACATATCAACAAACTGGTCAGACACATTTCCCATAAATCCCAGGGTTCAGGTGGCGAGGGAGTAGAGTTGTGACTGTTCCACGCAACAACTCAAAACATCACTCCGAGCTGACCAGCTGGGACTTGTGTGTCAGTGATGGTCTTTCAAACACTTTTACAGCTTCAAACCAACTGTTTACTTTTTGCTCAACAGTATAGATATGTCCCCATTAGCTTCATAACCGTATAAAAACTCAAACACAAACAGTATGCTTTGCAAACACCACACCCTCCCCCTTCACCAAGTCTAAAACTGTCTGAAGTTGGCATCTTTGTCAATAGGAGCACTTTTAGATACTGAGCTTTTTGTCATTTTCAATCACCTGTACGAGGAAAGGGGAGCAATAAAATATGCAAAAAAATCAAAGGGGGACCCCCTTTGCAAAATAAATGCAGCATTTTTTGTACTTTAAATTTGTTTTCTCTTTTTAGCGTCCTTTGAAGAAAGTGTTGAATGTGTCGACCCTGGGGCATTTGTCACAGTTCTGTTTCTGTGGAGAGGGGCACATCTGTGCTCTTTCCAAACACTGTGCCCCTACTCTGCCTTCTGAAGCTCTCCGGTGGGCGCTGCACATGGGCTGCGCAGACTCTTCTGCAACACATGGGCATCTGCGGGCTCTATCCTCTTGTAGTAATTCTTTTTTGTTTCGATGATCTCAAAGCCAAACTTCTGGTAAAAGTGAATGGCTGACTCATTGCTGATCTGCACATGACTGTGGGAAGGGAAGGAAGAAATTCAGTTAGTGGTAGAAAAGCAGAAAAACTGATGTTTGTTTATGCTAGGGCGGAAAGAATCTGTCAATTTGATCAGTTTCAGTAAAGAAGATATCACTAATCTGGTGGTAGACATTGAAAACTCCTAATAGACCTTCTGCAATTAAACACTCACAGGTAAATGTTGTCAAAAGTGCCATCCTTCTCACAGATGTTTAGCACATGATTCAGCATCTTTGTACCTGGAAAAAAAAAAAGACAAAGGCAACGTTGGTAAAACCAAACCCAAGATCACAAGTTTCACTGCAGCGTCTTCTAGAGATGCGGAGCTCCTCACCAATTCCAAGTCTACGGTAGGGTGCTAGACAGCCGAGCGTCATGATGTACAGTCTCTTCTGGTTCTGAGAGTGGTCCACTCTGCAGCACACAGCACCCACTGCAATGTCATTGAAGTATGCTGCAAGACAAAGAAGAGGTAAGATGGAAACATCACCAACAGACAGGTAAACTTTCCTTCCTTTCTTCTAACCTAAAGAGCAATGGTTGCTAGACGGCAGAGGGCAGGAAAATGTAAAGGTTTTCATGACAACACAATTTGATTAGGACTATAATTGCCTGACTGACTGCCTGCTATGAAAACCACGCAGTTAAAGGAGAATACTTTTCATCTTTGTGGTTGTTAAATCTCCTACATTTCTCTGACGAAGGACTGAATCCTGCCAGCGATTTCCCTCCTAATATCTCACTGTCACCAGAAATGCATTTGCGTTCCCTTTTAAAAGACTTGTATCAGTATTAGTACACGAGTTGTGTTTCTTACCTAGCTTTGCAAGCTCTCCAACTTCCAGTACATCTTTGTAAAACTTGTCGTTGTAGCTGACAGGGAAGATGACCTGGTTCAGACGTTTCAGCTGCTTAATGTTGTGGGGCGTAACATCCCCCAGCTCGATCCGGCTACTGGAACAAGAGCAAAACGGTCAAATGGCTGACGACGGGCACGCTGTTAAGATTCAGGATAATTTGACTCAATAACGCAATAAAGATCCACTGCAGCATCTTTGTAACTCGCAGCTTAAAGACAGTTTTCTTCCAAACCAACCAATTGAATTAACATTATCAATGCTAAATCTGAAACAATCGGTTAGTTTAGTCAATTAAGAGAAAAGAGTTGGTCTCTTTCAAAGAAACTGCCAAAGCAGCAGCTTCTGAAAAGTCTGATGATTTTTATTCTGTTCTTGGACAAATTCACCATTTTCTGATATTTAAAGGGACACTTCACCCATTTGCATTAAGCTTTGTATCGTTAGAAACCCAGTCATATTTTTGAATGGTCGTGCACCATTCCCTCATTTTCCCCTGA